ATCACCAAATGTCATTTAACACCCTTTCAAACTGTACATATTGTATCAGACTACTGGTATGCATGAACAACTGCAGTACATATACAAAGAATAGACACTGAACATGTATTAGAAATGTATCAAATTGTTCTGTGTGTGTGTGTGTGTGTGTGTGTGTGTGTGTGTGTGTGTGTGTGTGTGTGTGTGTGTGTGTGTGTGTGTGTGTGTGTGTGTGTGTGTGTGTGTGTGTGTGTGTGTGTGTGTGTGTGTGTGTGTGTGTGGCTGTCATGATCCTGCTCAGCAGTAGACTGATTGGATGGGAGGGTTTTGTGTCACTGTTCGCTCTGGTTAATGAGCGGAGGGAAGGTGAGCCAATACAATACACACTCTGTCAACAGAGGGACACTGTCAGGGGTGTGTGTGTGTGTGTGTGTGTGTGTGTGTGTGTGTGTGTGTGTGTGTGTGTGTGTGTGTGTGTGTGTGTGTGTGTGTGTGTGTGTGTGTGTCAGGTGTGATTCACATGGGGGGATTGGGCACATAAGGGGGGGGGCACATCTAGAGTGTGTGTGTGTGTGTGCGTGCGTGCGTGCGTGTGTGTGTGTGTGTGTGTGTGTGTGTGTGTGTGTGTGTGATCCGGATGGTTACAAATTCCTTTTCTTTATGGCGGTCATTTTTCACCGGGAACACCATGGGTGTTACAAAGTTTACTAAATCATCCAAAGTTCAATGAAAGTGGTGATCAGCAATTGTATATGTTCAAATGTCTGCTGTGAAGGATATCATAAAGCCTTGATGCAATCGAATGTAAAACAGAAAAGTTATGATTGATGAAAGTGTAAATCGGTCAGATTTGACCCGAAGACAACAGGAGGGTTAAATTACTGTTATCTCCAAAGAAAATTGTTCTTACCACTTTTAAAACTTGCAAAACTATTGTGTATTTTTCCATAGCTTGTTCATATCATGTGTCAAAAGGGGTTAGTTGTATAAGGTTTTATAAACATCCCCACAATATGTTTGTGTACATTTGGTGAAATGCTTTACATTTTGGTTTTAACTCAAAGAAATACAGCAGTTAGACAATAATACTTCCAGCCATGAAGCAAGTGTTGAAAGGCCCTTTCCTCTTTCAATATCGCATTACAAACTGGAGTTCGACTGGGAGCCAGGCTTTGTCGCCCAACACCAGTTGTTGACCCGGCTAATGCTCTTGTGGCTAAAAAGGAGCAGCGAGGTTTCTTAATGTGGTGGAAAGCTCCCCCGCAACAATGGACGATGTTATATAGCGACACATTGAGCCCATGAGAGGAGAAGATACTCAACCAGCACATATGGGTGTTGTACTCAGATGTCCACTTACTTTTGTACGAAGTGTCTCATTCTGTTGTAGACATGTTTCTGTTTCAAACCTGGGGACATGACAATAAAAGGTGCTGTATAAACCCTGTATAGAAAACTGGTAAACATAATATTTGTATCAGTCTTGAAAGATACATTTGCTCAGTTACTCTACTGAAGTACAATTGTGTGGTACTAATGCTGTACTTGAGTATAAAACATGTCCAATACTTCTTGGAAGAAAGTTCTGTACTTTTTACTCATCTACATATATTTTACAACCTCAGTTTCTCTGCAGGTTGATATAATTAACACATACACGACACATGAATGATGATGTACTATTAGGGAATAAGCAGTAGGAAAAGTAATGCGTCAATAATTGTATTACAATAAGAGAATAAATGCATTATTCCGAAGTACTTTTAGCTTTGGTCCTTCAGGTTTTGATGCTAATACTTCATTCTAAAACCAATAATAAAGGAATGTTACTTGCAACAGCATTCCTACACTGTGGTTTTAATGCTTAAAGGAGTACGTCTTCTTCCATCTCTGCTTGTTATAAATTGCACAACAAAGAGGTGCCTTTAACGCAGATGATATCATATGTTAAGGCAGACATGGTGGCTGGGATTTTGCCAAGGACACATAGCTAACAGAACAGTTTCTGTGTGTACGGTCACTTTACACACACTGTTTTGTGTGTGTAGGGGCTGACTCTTGTGAAGGGTCAGCAGGTTTGCTTGTGTGACCTCTTGACCTCCACTAGTGACAGTAGAGTCCTTTCTCTGCGCACCAGCAGAAGAAGAATAAGACGGGTATGTGGAATGTGTTAGGGTCATGGCTACAAGGGGGGTAATGTTACTCAGGGGTTGTGTTGTTGCAATCATTGTCACAGTTTTGACCAGGGAGGTGTGCTAGTTCACACATTGAAATTACAGTTTGTATTGCAGTAGGTACAGTGATCATTTGAGTCGAGGGTTGTTTTGGTACCAGGATGATGCTTTGGATCCTGTGGAGTAGTGCATTGATGACGAATTTGTCAACCAGGAAGTTAGCATGGCCAGTTGTAACTCGACAAAAAAAAATCTCCACATATTAAGATTTGTAAAGCATAAATGCAATCGCCAGATGTAAAAAGCTAATGTCCGCTATAAACAAACTACATCACGGAAGAATGACTTCACTTCAATTAGCTAAGAAAAAGACAGATTTGTGTTCAGTGTAATTATGTTTATTATTTTCCCTTAAAGGGGACCTATCATGCAAAATGCACTTTTGTACGTCTTTTCTACATGAATATGTGTCCCCGGTGTTCCAGGGAACTCACCAAGTGTCAGAAAACACAACCCTCTCTATTTTCCTCCATACCCAAATCTCTAAAAAAGGGGCTGCAACGGATCTGATAAAAACTGATCCAGATTTGAACACTGTCCTGACGTCAGGACGGTGGCGCTACGGCTATTGGGCCAACTCCACCAATCAGGAGGAGACAACCACGGCCATTGCCGTTCGAAAGCGCTGGAGACGCTGTAGTACATATGCCAGGCCTGTAGGTGGTGCTGTTCTCACTGAATCTGCCCTTGCTAAAACAGGGATAAAAAAGTGCAAATTGAGCAAAATGAGGCATGGCTGAAATGTTGGTCTGTTTGGTATTTTGAAAAAAAAAAAGTATAAATATGCCTTATATAGGTATGGTCCTACACTATATTATTCAAATATAGCATGATAGGTCCACTTTAAGTAAATGAAGTTGTTATCGACCTCTGTTTTTAAGACCCCAGACATTGTAGGGTTTTTACTGACATACTTTTATTTTTCAGAACAAAATGTGGACATCTCCACAGACCGTTTTTCAAGCATCTAACTAAAAACACATTCAAAAAACCATTGACGAGGGAACCGTGAGTTGTAAAATGCAAACTCATTTACGGGTTTGAGGGCAAATTCATCCATCACTCTATTAGACTCAGAAAACAATAAAAGCAAAACACATTGAGTTATCGCAAAGAACTCCCAGAATAGGAAGCACGTTTTCTTCCATTGGGAAAAATGATGAAAGGATGCTGAAAAGTACGCAGACACAACACATGTCAATCATCAGGCCATGATTCACTTTTTTTAGACATGAGGTAATATCCTGAATATGCCTACAGGTTTTTATCATCCGCAAAATCAAATGTGTCTGTGACCATCAATCACTTTCTGCCTCATATAGGTCAAATGCCACAGGCTTTGCTAGCATGCTAAGCTAATGTGGAATGATGTTAGCGAGATCGTTGAAGGTCTTATGTCATCCGATCAGGGTCGGCTTAAGTCAGGTGGTGGAGTGGTCGTGTGAGAGGTCAGAGGTCGGGTCAGTGTGTCTGTTGTGTTGCCAGCACTCAGTCATCCAGACAACAGCTGAGCACTGGAAAAGTTCTCAAGGTCACCCCGTGTTGGTGTTACTGACCCATTTTTTTTTAATGCAGAGAAAGCTCAGGGTGTTAAAACAAACATGGGAATGTGGAGCAACATCTCAATGTGAACAGGACATGACCAATTAACACATTTTATTATTATTTATTAAAAAATACAACAAGTATTCCAGTGTGCATGCATCAAGAAAAACAACACATCAATGTTGGATTCTAAAACATCTCCAAAACATTGAAGATCGAGACGAGAGTGATGGATTTTTTATCCGTTGTCTACCCGTGTAATGTGTCAACACTGTGTTTTTCTATTTTTAAGAAATGTTAAACATTGTCACTTGCATGTTGAGTTACTTTAATATCCTTTAAGACATTGAATCTAAACTCAGATTAAGATGAACGTTGTAAAATACAATTAAATGAAATCTGCACTAAGTGAGTTTTTGGCCTCTTGGTTCATTGGAAAATATTTTGACTTCACTCTTAATATTCATTTGAATTGTAATCACTTAGATGTATGGCAAATAACAAACCATTGCCATTCTTGCTGATGACATATATACAGTTTACCAGCTTACTAGATTTCGGTAGTTATGCAATTTGGTACTGGAGTGGTTACATACAGTGGGTTTATCAGAGCTTACATTTAAAAAAATTAAATTAAAATTGCTTGGTTAATGAGTCTAGAAGTTTTTCAAACTAAAACAACGAGCCAACATTTTTTAGCAGCCAGATGAAGTTCATTTTGTGCTCATCTTTTAGGTTTGATTTGGTTTCCACCAACTCCTCATTACATTACATTACATGTCACTTGTTAGACGCTTTTATCCAAAGCGACTTTCATACTCAATACTGTGGACAATCCCCACAGGAGCAATTTGGGGTGAAGTGTCTCAGGGACACAACGACATGCTGACTGCAGTGGGGTTTGAACCTGTTGAACCCTGATCCGAACACCAACGCACTAGTCCACTGCACCACACACCTTTACCTTGCTAACGTGCCCTTTTTAAAATCTTGCTAGCTTAGGTTAGGTTCACCCTACTTAATAGATGTTGTTGATGTTGTTTGTCTGCCATTTGGAGTTAGGCTTGTAGCGTAGAGTGGGTTTAATGAAGCTGACTTTTTTGAACAATGGTGGCTTTTTCTCCGTAGGTTTGTCACTATTACCAACACCATGACACCTTACAACTCCTTCTAAAATGTCATGCTTAAAATGGTTAAATCAAAGACATCTGTAGACGCAGCATTCTTTCCAATGACAGTCATTTACACCCATGCCCTCTTGTCCTGATTGTCGCTGCTATCAGACTGTTGTCCTGAGTTTTCCTTAACTGGAGTGACCTGCTTTCTGACGGCCACAGGTGTTTGCATCCTGGAGTTTGTTGGTGGTCCTCTCTCAGGACGAGGGGACTGTGGAGGTCTCAGTTGGCTGTGGAGGACATAGTGAGTTGATATTGGAGGGCTCGTCTCAATCTGACCCTCTTTGTTCTCTGGACTCTTGTCATTAGCGGTTCCATTATTCACCTTTTTGTGAAGAGGTTCGCCGTTTGGCACTGCATGTCTTTCATCTTTAAAACCGTTCTTTGAGCTTTCACAGCGACTGATTTTCCTGGTTATAACAACATCGCTGTCTTCAGTTGTAGTTGTTGTTGTGAACACACTGCTTTGCTCTCCTTTACTCATCTCGTCCATCATCATCTCCCTGTGCCTTCTCCATCTCATCATGGCCTTCATGGAGCTCACCAGATCAACCAAACTTAGCAGAATGGACAAGGAGGCAACACCCAGCATGAAGTTCAGCATTAAAGTCTTCTCCGTAGGTTTGGAGATGTAGCACTCGACCCCAGAGTTGCAGGGAGTCTCGTAACACAGGAAGCTCTTAGGAACGGACAAACCGAAGAGAAGAAACTGGCATGCACCGAAAACCATTTCTAGAACGATCCGTAGAATAACAACCAGGAAGTAGGTGCAGTAGAAGCGCGGCGCTCCCAAATCATGTGGCAGGTCGTGAAGTGGAGCTTTGTGCAAGGACACTTCTCTCGAGGAGTTCTCAAGAGTAAAAGGTGAACCTCCCCTCTTCCTGTCGCAGTAGAAACCTCCAAAATGGGGATTTGACCAAACTTTATGCATGACGTAGGTTGCAAAAAGCACATGAGGAAGACAGAGGAACATGAGGTGGAAGAACCACAGACGGAAGATGGACACCGGAGCAAACGCATCGAAACACACGTTGGAGCAGCCCGGCTGGATGGTGTTGCAGACAAATGTCTCCTGTTCGTCACTGAAGAGCGTGAACCCGGCCAGAAGGACGACTGGAAGACGTAAAACCAGCATCAGCATCCACCAGGTCTTTCCTGTGATGGAAACAAAACGATATAATGAGCGATAGATTCGGTGAAGATGAGAAATCATAATGATGTCGTTGGGTCGTTGCGGAAAAGAGGACAATAAATACTTGAAGTATGATTATTTACAATTACATGAGAGTGTAATATATAACAAAACAGACATATGACAGAGAGAGAAACTAAGGGACACATTTCACTTTCAAGAAAATCCTTCCAGCACCTGTCAAAATATATTGGTCTCATGGTATATCGTACCATAATTAAGATAAATGCAATTAAATATGTATTCATGTATTTTGATTGGATTGAAAACATGACTTCCACCAGGTCTTTCCTGTGATGGAAACAACATTTTTATTGTCAGAGTTAATAGATTTTTTATCTTCATGGCCTACTGTATACTTCTGCTGCAAACATTTCCCAATTTGGGATCAATAAAGTACCTCTTATCTTATCTTATCTTATCTTAACGTGACCAAATAACAATGAGCGCCAGAGTCAGTGAAGAGAAGAAATCATAATGAGGTAGTTGGGTAGGTAGGTAGTATTCATGTATAAAAGACGTACAAAAGTGCATTTTCATGATAGGTCCCCTTTAATCATGAAAATGCATGAAAATCCTTCCAGAAACAGTCAAAAATATATTGTTCTCATGGTATATTGTACCATAAATAAGATAAATGCAATTAAATATGCATTAACAACAATGTATTTTGATAGGATTTGTTGGAAAATCCAATGTTTTATAGATGTATTACGTGTTTGAATTGACAGCTCTTTACATATACTTCTAGTTTGGGTAAAGTAAACTATTACTGTTACTCTACAGGGAAAAAAAAGACATTTCTTAATGATCATATTCTGAACTACAAAAAGGACTTACCCATAAAAGAGACATTTTGACTGATGGTGATGAAGAGTAGATCTCTGGCTCCCATCATCATGATTGTTCAGCGCTAACCCTAATTCAAAATGCCAATCAACCAAAACTCTTCAGCTCTGCAACACAAATCAGAGTCCAGGAGAAGTCCCTGAGCTGCTCTCCTCTTCAACACGGCTCCAGATCTTCAGCTGAACTCTGAGTGCAGTCACCTCAGATGTTGTGTTACTGTGTTCTGCCTGCAGAGAGCTATTCTTACCGCCTGCTATCAAAGCATTGTTGGGATGTCGGAGTCCCAGTCAACCTTACTGGAAGCTGAGGATCATACGCAGGCACGCCGGTATCAAACAGGTGCGACAGCTACATGAGTCAATATCTAATTAAGGTAACATTCAGATCAAATAGAGGACATTTTTAGGAAAAGCAGCTTATGTAAATGCACAAAGGTCTTCTTCAATAACACACTTTTAGACAAGGGCTTTTCTCTGATCACACACACATAAATAAATCACAATTAACACGTTCCCAGTTTTTCAAGTCTTTATACGTTATACAAAGTTAATTTGCAAAATAAGTATATTTTAGTGCTTCAGTTTTCAGACAAATGAGGGAAAGAAAACATGAAAACCTGATCAGATATTTGCCAATAGGGAAATAAATGTACGATGGAATTACAAAATACCAGTTTCAACACTTGGCTCAGCAGTTAGGGTTTCATAAAATGACCCTCGTTCAAAAGTGAATTAAGAATATCACATGTTGTCCAATATGTGTGTGATTCTGGGCTTTAAAGGCAGTCTTTGTGGTTCACCCTATAGTGCCTTATTTCTATTATTTTAGTAATCTTAACAATCTTAATTTTTTAGGGCAGACACCATGGATTTGCAACATGATTAATTGGTTGTCAAACACTAAAGAAAGCAGATTAATGGACGTTTATATTTGTGACAACTACAGGCTGTTATTGAACGACTGTGTGACCAACAATAAACCCCCCGGCTGGAAACATGGGAGAAGTTTATTTTGGGATTTGTGATATTTTACGGTCTTATATTACACATCACACCCACAGTATTCCTTTGCCCATGTTTGTATATTTGTAAAAAAAAACAGATAACTGTGGACGTCTCAGGAAGTAAGGAATATTTCTGCCTGTTTATCCTGATGCATTATTAGGTGTAGGAACCAAATGTGAGGTACATTTTCTTATTATGTGTTTTTTTTTTTAACTCATCACTTGTGGTTTTGCATGGAAGAGAGAGGGGGTGAGTCTGGTGGTGAACGTTTTCTGTTATCCCCATTTCTACTGCATACTCTTTTGCAATTTGTACCGTACTTTCCTACCATATTTCATCACAATCAGCCATCTAACTTGTACTACCACCGATTGGACTGTATTTTTGACTGTGTCCTCGCAATAAATGGTGAAACGAACATAAGGATTGGAGCAGTTTTGTTTGAAAGTGTTTAAAAAACAATTGGGAAAGTTAGAGAAACCACCTTATCCAGACAAGACTGCATGCATGGATGTACTGTAGTCTTTCAATATAAGTGAACTTTCCAGGTACTGTGTAGATGTAATGCACGGTTATGTAGTTGTACAATACTGAATAATTGAAAACAACGCACTGTCCTGTGTTTTAATGTAACAGTATATTTTGGTGCTTGATACATTTGTAAGGTGCAAAATCACCCTGCATTAGTATAAATATCAATTCCAATACATACCGCTATAAAAATTGTATTTGGGTAAACAAAACAAATCTCAAATCCGCAAATGTCCACTAGATGTCAGCGGTGAGGTGTGCTTACTCTATTCAAAGCTTATATTGGGCATCTAAATTTGAATTGACTTTGACTGAAACTGCCTTGTAATAATCATATTAATATATAACCAGAGTCTGATGAGTACAGAATCAGAAACTCTGGAAAACGGGTTATATTTCTTGCTATACAGGCCAAGAAAATGTGGTAGTTTGATTATTAATGTCCCTAAAATAGGAAAATATCACAAGATTATATTAATTCTGTCCCTCCACAATATGTAATTTGTCACTTTCAACCCTATAGAGGAGCATCACAATAGATTAAACGGACTACCTGAGTATCGGAAGGTACACTACAAATACTGTAAACCTTGAATATACATATTGCCAAAGGAGAAAACTTGCTAACACTTTAATTATTCTAAGTAATAAATAATAAGTCCAGTGCTACACTACTGAAACTCTGCAGGTGTTATGGGTTCAGGCAGAAGTCCACGTATAATCAAAGTCAAATAAATAGTATGCTTCGTTGTGAATATGCACGGCCATTCTCAAAGGCAGGTTATGTCAAATGTTTTTAAAATAGGCCGGACACAAAACTGAACAGAGTGCCGTGTCCCAGGAAGAATTTGAGGCTTTTTGAGTCCAGGACTTTCCAGGTGGGTCCAAATAAATGTTTCCCACAGATACTATAACAGTCAGGAACTTCTCTTTCATTATCAGGAGAGTTGAGGCACTGAGAAAAACTCAAGAAAACAACAGATGTGGTTCCACTTTCTTGCCTCCACTCAAGCAAAACCAAATCCCACCGTCTTGGTATTATCTGTAATCCAAAGTATAGTTCTTAAAGCATGTTGGTATATTTCCTCTTGTGAGTGTTTTCACCCAGCCGGTGTTCCTGCAGCCTGATGCCAGTGTTCAGTTTATGGCAGATTCATATTGGTTAGGAGAGGATAGCAGGAACCCATTTGATGCCACATAGATTGTCCGTGCTGGAGGAGCGTTTTTTGGCAGCTTTCCGAATGTCCTTGTACCGGTCATCACACAGCCGGGAGATAGCCTGAAAAGAGGACAGGGATTGTTTTTATTAACACTAGAACCGCCAGGGGTCGCTGTATACCTAAAACCGCCAACGGGTCAAATGTACCCGCGATTAGAATACATTGATTTTCAAGGTACAATGTTCTTTTATTTATCATACTAGAACACAGGTTAACAGTGAGATTTGATCGCAAGGTGAAACTTATACCAATATAATCTGTGGACTCTCAGCTTTCATATGATATCTAGTGTGCAGATAGCATGAAGTATAACATATCGCTAACAGTCTCTCTCTCTCTCTCTCTCTCCTCTCTCTCTCTCTCTCGCTCTCTCTCTCTCTCTCTCTCTCTCTTTCTCTCTCTCTTCTCTCTCTCTCTTCTCTCTCTCGCTCTCTCTCTCTCTCTCTCTCTCTCTCTCTCTCTCTCTCTCTCTCTCTCTCTCTGGAACCGCAGTAAACAACAGGCGTTGCTATAGCAACACGTCATGTTTATGTGTTCGCGCGAGATCAATAGCGCGAGAATCACTGCATTTTCGATAAGGTAAATATTACCCGCTGGCGCTGATTGGTATAAATGGCAATTTTTTGGGGCAATTTTTTCAATCTGACTTCATATTGACAATGTTTAACACCAGAGGGTGCTACATAACACACTTTCAGGAAAAGTCACAGACTGGGAGACTTGAATATTTTATTGAAAAAAAGTTACATACAATCAAGGAACAGCTGCGGGTAAAATGTACCCGTTGGCGGTTCTAGTGTTAAGGAACAAATACTCTACTTTTAGTATGCAAAGTACCTTTCTGTGACACGCAATCATAAAAAGATGTTAAAGAAAAGATTTGACATGCTACTTAGGTTACTGTTATTTGCATAACGCTTCCACGCAATGCATCCTTTATCCCTGGATGATTAAAACCACTATTGGTACAGTTTCAATTTAATTATAACGTCTTTAAAACGTTCTGTATGATACAATCGTGATATAAATCAGTAAACTTTGAATCCCCCTTTTGACCGAGAGCATCAGAAAGTATTGCCACGCAGAAAGTGCAAACTCATTCAGTATTTTGTTGTATTTGTTTTTGCATTTCCACCACATCTAAAGAGGCATTAAACTTAGTCAAACCAGTCCGCTAAACCATTAGAAAAGGCATTATTTAGTCAATTTCAGCTGTCATAATGAAACAGCAACACAGTCACAATATTCTTTTGTATATTTTGTATGTTGGCTGTGGAAGTGATGGTGAAAAAGAGATATTTAAAACACCTCCAAAGAAGCAACAATCTGCTCAATTAGAGATGTCCCGATCCGATCACGTGATCGGGGATCGGAGCCGATCACGTGATTTTCAAAAGATCGGAATCGGGAGAAAAAAATCGGGGATGGGGAACTTTTTTTTTTTTTTATAAAATATTTTTATTTTTTTTAATGTTACAAAACAAAAATGACCATGTTCACGTCTTAAAGTCATCCTGAGGCCTCAGTTTTGGGTTAAAATTACACAACATCATGTATGTGTTGCTTCTTTTGGGCTTGTTTTCATAGACCTGGTTGCTTATTTCTCTCAAATCTGGCAACAGAGTGGGCGCAGTGTCTAATAGTAGCAGTAAGCTAACAAGAGGCTACGTTCAGCTGGTGCCTCGGGAGTCGGGACAGAGAAAATGTCAGGAGTTTGGAAGTATTATAAAATTGAAAGCGAAGGCAGTGTAACAGCCAGATGCAATGTTTGCAAGGCGGAGGTTCCGCGTGGTGGAAAGAACAGAGCTACGTTCAACACGACCAATCTAATACGCCACCTGAGAAACAAACACCAACAACAACACGACGAGTACACAGCGGCCACTCAGGTAACGGCACGAAACAACCAACACTTTCAGAGACTTTTAAAAGGAAAGAGAAACTGCCCCAGAACAGTGAAAAGGCCAAAAGAATAACAGCCAAGATAGCTGAATTCATCGCGTTGGATGACCAGCCGTTATCTGTTACCTTTTTTTTCTCTTAATGCATTGCATAAAGATCGGATCGGGAAAAATCGGCATCGGCAGATTGTCAAAATCAAATGATCGGAATCGGATCGGGAGCAAAAAAAGGTGATCGGGACATCCCTATGCTCAATGTTCTGTTTTTTTTTAACCACATTGTATAGAATAGAAAATCATGTTTACAGTTTTGTGGTTCAAAAGAGCTTCAGAACTTTTCTTCTAGTGTCTTTCTTTCAAACCACCACTGGACGTACTAAAGTAAGAGATCTTTAAACACATACAGAGAGCAGACATTGCATGGAGGCGCCTCACCTCCAGTTTCAGGGCCTTGTCTCTGCTGAGCAGCTCCAGAGGGAAGCTCAGGTTGTTGGTTTCTGACAGCGAGCGCAGGTCAAAGTAATATTTGGCGTAGACACTGGACGGCACGTTGATGTTGAACTGCAGCAGCTCCAGGAAGTGCCGCTCCAACTCGTTCCTGTGAGAGAGGAAAGAGCAGGAGGTTCAGTCATGAAATCAAAACAAGAGATACTACTTTTTCAAGATGCAAGCCCTCCCACACATACACCTTCTCCTCTAAGAGCTTAATGTACATGTACTGCTACATACCTACTCCTGTGCACACTCACCTACCCCCTGCTAATTTTATTTTATGCCTCATTTGTTTGACCAACTTTGGCCATATCTCTACTTTCTAACATATTGGTGTACCTCTTATTTGTAACGTCATGGGGTGTTGAACATGTTTGTGTTCTCTTTACAGGTGGACCAAAACAAAATAGTCTCTCTACTAGAAGAATCATTCAGCCAAGCTCTTCAATAGCAACGATTTCCTCAACATGTCCAACTTTGAATTACATGCATGCAGCTGCAGGAGGTTACCGGTCAGAAATCTGTCTGATATATTGACCAATCAAGAGGCTGCAAAAATGGCAAAGCAGTGATCTCTATTTCCTTTTAACATTGTTTTAACTTGTCCTGGGATTAATATCATTGACTCTCTGAGAGAAATGTGTATTTTAGTGTCGTTGCAATGATGAATCCTTACATGTTTACGAGGAAATTCGCCATGAAACTATTTTTTTGGGGGATTGATCATAATCTTTGTTTTGTTCCGCTCCTAAACTCGCACCAAACCTAATCCTAATATGCATCTTAAAGGTCCCCTATTATACTGTTTTCCATCAATATATAATAGGTCTCAGATATATTCATAACATGTCTCTGAAGTGTTTGGCTCCAAACACCAAACAGATCATTGCAGCATCCCATAATCCCCTCTGTTTCAGCCCTGTTTCCAAAGTGCTGATTCTCTGTCTGTTACTTTAGATGAAAATAAGGAGCCCCTCCCCACGCCCCTCTGATGCGGCTTTCACACCAGCGCTTTTCCCTTTCTAGCTCCTAGCTAGAGCTTTTCTGGTTCAGCTCCGGTTTCCCTTTTCAGCTCCCGCTCTGTTCACACCGCCCAGCTGCCGCTGCTGCGTCATGACGTCACCGTTTACATCGCTGATTTTCTCCCCAACGGAGCTCACAACAACAACGGGCCGGGGACTGCGTCGGGTCGATGATCGTGTTGCTTTTAATCATACGAAGCCAGATTAAATTAAATAACGACTTCTCCAACCTTATACTTTTCTCCAGAGTGCCGTGGTTCATTGTTTATTAATGTGTTTCAGCGGCATTTACCGACCGCTGCAGTGCTGGCTGCTCTTCCACGAGTGTATTCTCCCGTTAGCTCCGGGTTAGCTCACACGGCTCTAAAGTATTCACTGTCTGACTGTCACACAAGCAGCTGATACATATCCCCAGTTCCCCTTAAGTGAATGTGTGTCAGTCTGAATTGACGCTGTTATGAAAGTGTCTCTGGTATAACATGGGTGATGTTGGCATAGCAACCGAAGCTAAACTGACTACTTGCTAAGCCGTTTTCTACAGGCACTTTTTACCGACGTATTTTTCATTATGATTCTACTTGTGATAGTCGGACATGACAACCTGTGCAGCCCATGTATTGATTCCATCCGATAGCTGCTATAATAACAAACAAAACGTCTGCCTGCTCTCCACAATGATCAATAACAGCGAACGGATGGTCAAAGTAAGGTACAAATAAACAGAATCACACGAAGCCTGGTTAGTGTTGCCTGACTTTATAAAGTGTGTTTTTTTTATAAGTGTGTGGTTGCCTTCTAGTCACTTTGCTCAGCGCTACTGCTTGTAGGCAGGCATGACGAGACTCTTCAGTCGACCCATGTTCAGGGGAGGTGGGTTTAGTTTCCTGCACGCCTCGACGTAAGAAAGACGTAAGCGACGCCGCCTCTTAGCTCCGAAGCTCTTGCTTCTAGACCGACAATTTGTTGGAGCTGGAAGTGAACCGGATTCCGGAGCTAAGAGGCGGCGCCGCTGCGGTGTGAACAGGAAAAACTGGTACTTTTCAGGCTCTAGCTCCGAGCCGGAGCTGAAAAAGCGCCGGTGTGAAAGGGGCATGAGAGATATTTGGTTAAAAAGAACTCAATGGTGCTCTAGGAGGAGATTCAGGTGATAAGGTGGGGGGGGGGTTACCTTGGTTGCTGATTGGCTAATGGTTACACAAGCCAAAACATCGTTATGACATCATAAAGTGTCCAAAATCTGATCAGCTCATTTTCAGACAGGTTTTTATAGAAATGGATCAGGACAAGAAGAGAGAGAATCTTTGTTCCTGTAACTTTCAGAATCTCTTTACACAGAGGGGACACATGTTGATGTAGAAGAGACATGAAGAAGAGGGGACACGTGTTGATGTAGAAGAGACATGAACAAGTGGATTTTGCATAATAGGTGACCTTTAAATACCAAAGTCCTTAATATAAAACGAATCCCATTTCTCAGTATGAACTCACATGTCCTCCACAGTGATGTCTTTGAGGATCTGGCAGTAGTCCACGTTCCACACGGCCTGGTCGTCCCACACCTTGGAGGCCAGCAGGATGGCGCCGAGAATGATCCTCTTCCAGTTCCCGGGAGTGATGTCGATCTCTGCGTAGGTCAGCAGCCGCTCCAGGTAGATCTGAGCAACAACACGGAGTAAAGAATCAACACTGAGGAGGACTGGGCGTGGAAGTAAAGCAGTAGGAAATGCTTTAAATAGACACTGAGGTTCCGTCTAATCCAAAAATGTATATATCCACAAGTAGCAATAAGCTTGACTCCAACAAAAATACGTCTAAGGAAAGTTTGGTTGACTCTTTACTTAAACAAAAAGGTACACATATTTTCAAAGGTCAAAAAACTATATTCCTCCGTGATTCTTTTCTCTTTCTAACTTCTCATTACCAGCAGCCGCGGTCGGCTATGACATCAATTTTACAACAGCTGGTTTAACTAAATACAATGTTCAAATATATATACACACATAATATATCAAATTATACATTTTAACATATGGCTCCTACAGACACAAAAGAGGCTATGAAAAACATAACTCCCATCTAATCCAATGGGTCCTGAACTCGGAGTATGGACCCCCAGTAGAGGTCGCCAAAGCTTTAAAAGGGGGGTTATAAAGCCTTATTGATTTTAAGATGTGTAAGATACATTTTTTTTTATTATATCTAAAGATTTCATTCATATCTGTGACAAAAAATTCATGAAATAGTTATTTTTGGCTTTTCTTAAGATCTGTATACTTCTTGTTTTTATCTCACAAGATGCAGGCGTGGTAAACGTGGTTGAGTATGTTTGATTGTTGACATTTATAAGATTAAAATTCATAATAAGGACAGAGAATTGTTCTTTAACGTCCTAAAAAACAGGAAGGCAATATTGACATGAAATTATCTGCTCAAAATTAATTAATTTAAACAAACATCCTGCAGTTATTGTGTTCAATTATGGGGAACATGTACAGTGTCTTGTTATGCTTTCAATATTATACGAAATATACCATGAAATATGTCCTTGAGTCAATGGTTGTCAGTTTACTTAATGACAGAAAAGGGGTCCCTTAAGGAAAAAGGTTAGTAACCTCTGATCTAATCTGTTTTACTTATCTATGTCCATGCTCCACTCGATGGTGTCAGGAGGAATTCATCTTCACTGACCCCCCCCCCCCCGACACACACTCAGACGACATGGTATTTTGGATGCACACGTCTCATCACCATTTTACACACATCCCTGGCTTGTCTCTACACATCAGGGCAGAATTCCCCCTGAGGCCTCAACAGGAAGTGTGTGTGTGATAATGTGTGTGTGGGGACACAGTTGAAGATTCCACCTTAACCTTTGTGAGAAATCTTGTTTTTTGGTATGAGTGTTTATGTTGTGATCCCAAAATATATAATGAAGTGGTGCAGAGATGAGTCGTTAACCCGGGAATTCATTTAATAATTTACTCCCAAAATAAGGTCTACAGGAGTTTACGAGAAAATCACATTTTGTTCTACGACATAAAATATGGCACTAAATAACTCAAATGGTGAATGTCTGAAGCTTCTTTGTGTCTTAAAAACTGTGGTTGCTAACAAGAGTCTAAATGAGATGACTAAACGTAATCAGGCCCAACATTAGCCGCCTTTAGCTTAGCGGTGGTGACGTGAAGTCATGTGACCGTGCTGTAGTTACTTTATAGCCCAACATTAGCCGCCTTTAGCTTAGCGGTGGTGACGTGAAGTCATGTGACCGTGCTGTAGTTACTTTATAGCCCAACATTAGCCGCCTTTAGCTTAGCGGTGGTGACGTGAAGTCATGTGACCGTGCTGTAGTTACTTTATAACCCAACATTAGCCGCCTTTAGCTTAGCGGTGGTGAAGTGAAGTCATGTGACCGTGCTGTAGTTCCTTTATAGCCCAACATTAGCCACCTTTAGCTTAGCGGTGGTGACGTGAAGTCATGTGACCGTGCTGTAGTTCCTTTATAACCCAACATTAGCCGCCTTTAGCTTAGCGGTGGTGACGTGAAGTCATGTGACCGTGCTGTAGTTCCTTTATAGCCCAACATTAGCCACCTTTAGCTTAGCGGTGGTGACGTGAAGTCATGTGACCGTGCTGTAGTTACTTTATAACCCAACATTAGCCGCCTTTAGCTTAGCGGTGGTAACGTGAAGTCATGTGACCGTGCTGTAGTTCCTTTATAGCCCAACATTAGCCACCTTTAGCTTAGCGGTGGTGACGTGAAGTCATGTGACCGTGCTGTAGTTCCTTTATAGCCCAACATTAGCCACCTTTAGCTTAGCGGTGGTGACGTGAAGTCATGTGACCGTGCTGTAGTTACTTTATAACCCAACATTAGCCGCCTTTAGCTTAGCGGTGGTAACGTGAAGTCATGTGACCGTGCTGTAGTTCCTTTATAGCCCAACATTAGCCACCTTTAGCTTAGCGGTGGTGACGTGAAGTCATGTGACCGTGCTGTAGTTTATTTATAGCCTAAAGTTAGCTTCTTATCTCTGGAGATTGCAGTTACGCTTCAAATATTAGAAAAGTGGCAGTAACATGTGGAGAAAACATGTAAGTATCATAAAACTGAAAAATCCTATTGGCTTTTTGTGTAGGAAGACCTTTTGGGTCGACCTTTAAACGTACTTCATCCCTTCACCACTCTATAAGAGGATGAGGAGGTAAAAGAGCCTCACCAGAGTGACGATGGCACACTCTGCAGTGAGCTGAGCGGCACTGAACAGCGTCCGGACAAATCGGTAGATCTGTTTCTGCTCCGTGTCAATCTGGTCATAGTCCGGGGGGACCTCTGTTTTCTGGAAGAAAGAGAAAAGGAAGGTTTAAGTAAAATGCCTAAATGAGCAGATTTAAAAGCACAATTACTCCATATATTACAAAACCAAAATCTGACTCTGAGGTAGTTGTGCAGAATGTTTTGTAGGATGTGAGGTGAGGTGTGTAAGTGCTGATGTCTTACTGAAAGAGGGTGCAGCTTCTCGTCAAATATATCCAGCAGCATCGCTCCTTCTGTGTCCCTGGCATGAGAAAACATGGTTACATTATAGATTTCATTCATAAGACTCAGGTCACTATAGTAAAAAAAGTGTAAAGTTATTTATAAAGGGTGTTAATGTAATTGATATAGACTGAATTAGAGATGATTATAGCTGATATTTGTTTTTGTTATTGCTGTAGATTTGTATCATCAACATGATTTCATAATCTACTTTATGGATTCTTACTTATCAAACAATATATTTGGCTTTTTTTCAACATTTTATGGATTTCTATTTTTATTTTCATCTTATGTTTGGAGTTGTTGTAGTGTAATCAAGTAGTGTAGTCACATTTATTGGGACACATATCACATATTGTTGTGAAAGGAGCAATTTGCTTTTGATATCTTTGAAAAATACATGACAAATAAACTGTGCATATGCAATAATGACCATGATTCTCTTTTTCATACAGTATGCACTCTAACTATAGAAAGAAAAGAGAATCCCTACCTGTTTTTTATATGGTAGTAGATCGCCACTGCTACACTGTAAAGGGAAACAAATACATGTGTTAATAAGTTCAAAAATGTGTTTCTTGAGATAATAAAATATGTATTTATTCCTTCATGTTGGTACCATTTGATGGTGTATTTGAGGTTGGGCTGGCTGACTGTGTTGTCATCGAGGAAGATGGTGGAGCAGGAGCTGTATTTCCGCTTCGATGTTCCATGCTACACACACACGCGCAGGCACACACACACACACACACGTACACGCAGGCACACACACACACACACACACACGTACACGCAGGCACACACACACACACACACACACACACACACACACACACACACACACACACACACACACACACACACACACACACACACACACACACACACACACACACACACACACACACACACACACACACACACACACACACACACACACACACACACACACACACACAGTGACTGTTATTAGAGTGTACATGTTTTTGTCTGACCCACATTAAGCATGCCAGGGTGTTGTGCACAGGCCGCATATAAATCAGCAACATGCAACCTCAGATTGTGACGGTCTGCATTTATTCAGATTCCTTTGTGTACAGCATTTAGTCAAAACACTATTTAAAACAAAGTGATTTTTTTATGAAAAGTAAAGCATAAATCTGTCGAAATTGGAGTTATACCAATAAAATGGCTCAGCTTTGTGGCGAGAAATGTAAATAATGCACTTACATTATTGATGAAGAGGCTCTTCCGTTTATCTTGCACTACAGAGAGAAAGATAGCTTTTTTAATAAATGTCATTACTTCTGTAAATAAAGACAAACGCAGCAAGTTTAACCCTCCTATTGTCTTTGTGTTCCCCCCTTACTTTGGTGTTCGCGGTCAAATTTGACCGGTCCTGTTTTAACTGCTATTACATTAACACAAAAACCATTAATCATCACCAAATTTCATTTAGCACCCTTTCAAACTGTAAGTATTGTATCAGACTACTGGTATACATGAACAACTGCAGTAACTATACAAAGAATAGACACTGAACATGTATTGCGTGTGCCAGGTGTGATCCATGTGGGGGGATGGGCACATAAGGGGGGGGGGGAACACATTTAGTGTGTGTGTGTGTGTGTGTGTGTGTGTGTGTGTGTGTGTGTGTGTGTGTGTGTGTGTGTGTGTGTGTGTGTGTGTGTGTGTGTGTGCACGTGTGTGTGTGTGTGCACGTGTGTGTGTGTGGTAAGGGAGGTTAATGTGGTCTTGTTAGCCCACAGCGGGGGGTCATCTTGGTCTAAATGGTGTGTGTGTGTGTGTGTGTGTGTGTGTGTGTGTGTGTGTGTGTGTGTGTGTGTGTGTGTGTGTGTGTGTGTGTGTGTGTGTGTGTGTGTGTTTTATCTGATCTGGATGGTTACTAATTCCTTTTCTTTATGGCGGCCATTTTTGACCTTGAACACCATGGGTGTTACAAAGTTGACTAAATCATCCAAAATTCAATGAAAGTGGTGATCAGCAGTTTTATATGTTCAAATGTCTACTGTGAAGGATATCATAAAGCCTTGATGCAATCGAATGTAAAACAAAAAAGTTATGATTGATGAAAGTAGTAAATCGGTCAGATTTGACCCGAAGACAACAGGAGGGTTAAACCAGCAACACACACTGTTATCTCAAAAAGCAAGAAGAAAGGAGTTAGCACACGTCTACATGATGTTATTGTACAGAACGAAAGCTGTAAGTGTTGAGAGGAAACAGTTCAATCACACGTCAGATAAGCAGAAAGATTAGAGCTTCAACAGAGAGAAGAGGTTTCCACCACTAGAGGGAGACGACGCCACACGGAGGAACACTCACCGTTCCTGCAAGGCACCTCTGAAACAAGAGGAACCAAAGACCTTTCTGTGACACCAGGATACATCACATATTCTGCACTTCATCGGTAGCAATCAACCTCTGCTGAACATTATACATTAACATCATGAGCTGAGGTATACAATGAAGCATAGTTGCTAATAATCCAGATATGGCTGTATTTGTGTGTGTGCTCTTTTGCAAGTGAAATAAAGTAAGTGGTTTGCATCCAGGAAGTCAAGGCTCCTAAAAAGGTCACAAGATTACAATATTTCAAGTTTTATGTTGTAGCTATTTGGATGCTAACTTTACCTGATTATCTTAAGGAATAGTTTTTCTTTATGGACAGATTCATATTATTTTAATATTATTTTAATTTTTTGTAAACAGAAAAAGTTGAAAGCATGTTATGTTCATGATCTGTGTTCCTAATACTAATGTGAATAATAAAAATAATTATAACTGCGGGATGAAAAGAGGAATGACAAAAACATCTCTGCTACACAAAATGATGTTTATCCCTGATCTATTGGAGAGCTTTTCCGCTTTGCGATGCTTTTGTAGTATTGTAGTATTTATTACATGTACAGCACTTTGGCCCGACCAAAAATCGCTTTTAAATGTGCTTTATAAATAAACTTTTGATTTGATTTGATTTGATTTTGCTCATGGAAATATGCAAGAAGTTGCCTGGGTAAAATGCTCACAAAACTAAAATGTTTGAAACCCAGTAAATGAAGTGTTATATGATAGCTTTACTATTATCCCAAATACCGTGGACAGACGAATATAAAACAAAATGAAAACTGTTTCACTCAGATGGAAGACCCATGTGTTTTAACCACAATGGCACATAGATACACCATGTGGTAAATACACGCTAGTACGATTGATTTTCGGCTGGTTTGGTCTCTTGGGAGGGGATTTGTTGAAATAAATCAAAAGGCTAAAATGATGTCAGCTTTTTTTCCCCTGAAGACGAGACTAAATATTGCAAAAAACAACAAGCAACTGATAAACAACGAAATGCTCTTTCATTCCTTCATCACATGCAGCTGGCCGAATATTCATCACATGGTACAAATATTCTCTATATGGGCAGAGAGAGATTGAATATCAAATCTGATGCATTACAGAATCTAATATCTGTCGGACATTGAGGATTACAGTATATTTATCAGATGCTGTCTTCATCACAAAGCTTGTATTGTCTTGCTGTTCGTTCGCCATGGAAAGAAAAAAGATGATCTCATGCTGTGATGTTTGCGGCTCTGAAATACATTTTATTTCTAGCTCTGTTACAGTATGACTGAAACCCCCACAGGATGCTGAAGCTCTCAGTCAGATGCCTCTGGGCAACGGCATAAATTATCAGGCATCAGCTGGCCACAAAGAAACTACTCTGGGATCAGAGCTCCTACAGATACAGTGGAAAGGGAAATTGTATTTTTCAAGAGCCGCGTTTTCCTGAAGTGTCTTCTGTGTAAATGATACATGTCAAACGAAGGCACGTGTGTTTTACTCGGACATATTCATTTGGTGACACTGAGGTTACATATAAATTGCATTAAAAGAACATTTTAAATCAGTCAAATCTTATGAAGAAGAGTTACTCACCATCGTTCTGGGATTTGCTGAGGAATATGGTGCTGGCCCGCGGATGGTCCGATGGATTGTACTCCATATTCATCTCTGTCAAAACACAAAGCATTTGTGTCACTTTCAAGATCTCAAAACATACAATCGCTGCCATAACATTTTTTTACATGTTAGCAGGTTATGGAAAAACTAAGAAATAACATCCTTTGATTGACATTTCCAGAGACAGTGACACTTTTGGATCCTAGCCAACAATGCTCAAATGTATTTTTAAAAATGCACAACATTTGAATATGAGACATAAACTAGCGCATATGTTAAAATATAGGTAACTTCGATAGATATAAAAATGTATAATGGCATTTTAAAAAAGCCCTTTCTTTTTAATGTTTACGAGTAAAATGTTAGCATGCTAACAGGCTAAACATTGACTGTGAAATGCATGCAAAAAATCTGCATGTTAGTATTATCATTATTAGTATGCTAGAATTTAGCTCAAAGCACGACTGTTCTTAAGTACAACCTAGCAGAGCCATAGTGCTTTATAGCAAAGGTTGGCATGCTAACATGTTAAATTACAACCCAGTCTCACGGCATTTCGTGTTATAGTCACGAAATTAATTTAATCTATTGATTCGTGTTCACCAACACGATTTTCGCATTTTTTTCGTGTCACACAGAACGCAATGTATTTCTATTGGTAGTATGTTTCGTGCCTGCACCACGTCTTTTTGTCCGGTCGGGTCTTGGAAGACCAGAAACATTTTCTTACCCAATATCTTACCCTAAGCCTAACACTATCCCTTTTATTTTAAATTGTATAATGTCTGAGTTTTTTTGCCGTCAGTGAGGAAAAGAAATGGCTCAGAGCCTCAGAATACTGACATCTGTATTTTATGTCATCTTTTTTTCCTTCTAATTTGTTATTATTTGTTGCAGGCACGAAACATACTACCAATATAAATACATTACTTCTAAAATCGTTCTGTGTCAGAATACTTAAATCTGTATTTTCTTTAATCAGTTTTTCCTTCTAATTTGTTATTATTTACATTGCTTTTAAAATCGTTCTGTGTGACACGAAAAAAACACGAATTGGTGAACACGAATCAATAGATGAATTTCGTGACTATAACACGAAATGCCGTGAGACTGTGTTGTAAATTAAGATGCTAAAATACCTGCTTAAAATAAGCAAGTAAGCATGCTAGCATTTAGCTCAAAGCTAGTACACTTCACAGAGCTGCTTTCAGACTCTTAGCTTTTATTGTATTCATGTCATGTATAAGAATAGACTAAGACAAATCTCTTAAAATGTTTTTGTAGGTTTCTCTTCAGATACTATTGTTCCATGTGTTTGCAGTCCTTATAGAGCTGTATGCTAATGCTTTGCTCCACTGCCTGCACTCACAAACACACGCAGGCATGATTCATGTTCCCATCCAAAGCTAATCTGCACTGCATCATGGCCTGAGGGCCTGAGGGCCTGAGGGCCACAGACTGTCTGTGCACATCCCATAAAACACAGTGGAGCACTCAAAACAGCAGCTCTCATCACACAGGCCACAACGCTTGCCTTGTTACCTTGTAGATACAGATGTTACTTTGATAAGACAGACAGCAGACCTCATATTTCACAGCTAGCTCTCCTATAAAACAAAACATGCTAGTTTGCAAGAACTTAAAGGTCTCCTATCACGCTATTTTTAGGCATATTTTATGGGTCTCAGATATATAAAAATATATAAAAAACATGTCTATGATGTGTTTTGCTCAAAATACCAAACAGATCATGCATTTTAGAAATCCCTCATATCCCTCTGTTTCAGCTGTTAGAGAAACACTGATTTTGGGTCCTTAGCGTGAACAACAACAAAAAGAGGAGGGGGAGCTAATGCCTGCTCAGAATTCTACGAGATGCAGCTAAATGCTGCCGTGATTAAATGCCATCATGTTCCAAACCACATCAAGGATTATTTCTGAAACAGTATGGAGCTCAAATGCTTTTTCTCTCTCAGGTTTACCACAAGGTGAGTTTCTTCTTCATGCTCTCTCCAGTACAGGTTAGCTCTGAGTGTTAGCGATGCTTGCTAATGTAAACAAAGACCATATTACGTCCAAAACACGTTGCGCATTGTTTCTGATAGCGACGTTTCTGATAGGGCCGTGGGCGTAAAGCCGGCCCACATTTTAGTGATGTCGTCATGACCGCAGCAAATCTGGATCAGCTCCGTTGTTCCCCCGTTTTTAGAGATGTGGGTAAGGAGGAAAAGAGAGAGGGTTTTATTTTCGGACACTTTGTGAGTCTCCTGACACACCGGGGACACATATTTATGTATAAAAGACATCAAAAAGGGAATTTTGCAAAATAGGTGACCTTTAATTTCCACCGCGATCAAGCCTTTGTATCTATTCCCATGAACTCTGTGTTTTGAGAACTGAAATCCAGCAATGCTCTACATCCAGTGAGATAAGTGCTTGCTTTCTGTGAAATCATCATTAAAAAATGCTCGGCATGCAGTGTGAGTGCCAAGTGTCCTGACTCCTACGATATGACTGTAACAGACCCAGATTAAGATCCAGGATATTTGATTACAATGCAGAAGTTTGGAGAGAGTCTTCTGTCTCGGTGACAGCAGCTGCTGGAGAGGACTGTGTTTGGGGGGGATTAGAAAAAGCACACTGCTGTTAGCTAGCAGAAGTGTGCTCTTTCTAACCCACAGACCCCCCTGCAGGCTCTAAATCTTCCCATGAATCGGCCTGGCAACAACGTGTAGCATGACCTTTAGGGTTCATTTTGTATTTCATTTATTTGAAAGATTGCTTGTTTCTTAACTTTACTAACTTTGAAAAGGTATCTTAAGTTCAAGAGTCTTGTTTTTAAAGCGTAAACACTTATGTCTGACAGCAGAAGCATTTTATAAGTGGAAATATTAATCTAAGTGGATATGATAATTTGTAATGGATGTAATGTAAAGTCTACTTTGTTCTGCTAGTTTCAGTATACCAATAACATACAATTAACTGCTTGTTTAAATTACAAAAAAGGGATTTTACATGTCAATATATTCGCTTCTACGTGTATAGGAGTGATAGAAACATATTTATACCTAGATTGGGAATATCTTTGGGTACCCTAGTCCTATAAAACGTTCATTTAGCCAATTAAGAATGGGTGTGATGAATAGATTTGAAGCTTATTGTCACTGAAGGCTTGCAAAAAAAGGCCCAAACTAAACATTGAAGACTGCCTATCTGAATAAGACAACATCTTATTAACATCTGATAGATTATTGTTGATTCTTTGTGTCTTTGCTCAACTAATTTAAACCCAAGTGCCACTTAGACCCCAGCAGCTAACCCTCTGCAGGATGAACACGGTCAGCTCTGTAAACACACCAGGCTGAATGGACTGAGCCCGGATTAGTCTTTATGCAACAGCAGTCCGGCTCATTTCAACACGTCCACATATTAGAGCTTAAACAGATGCTGAGCTGGAGTTCAGTGTGTGAGAGAATAAACATAGTGGCTGACCAATAAAGTATTCTGGTCTTATATTTCAGGGTTTTTTTTACACACTGCAAGGAATTTGTATGTCCAGGTGACATAAAGAGACACTTCCTGTCACTGTACTCATTTCTGAGAGATGCCACTAATGTGTTGAATATATGAAGCATGTGTCAAACAGGGGTCAAGGCTTCCAGTCACACGGAGCAGAAATTAAGGGGGCCAAAGGGCAAAAATGCCCCAAAAATGTAGCTGATATTGGAGAAAAAAATACAAAAAATAGACCCTAAAAAATATATATTTATCAGTTATGGCCAATACCCTTATCCTATATTAAGATTTATGGATAAGATATAATTGTATGCACTATTTACATATTTTTTAAGTGCTTCACAAGTATGTTAATGCCACTGTTTCTTAGACGGTCACAGGGCGAAGTATTAAATTAAGGAAAATGAAATAAGAGCCCCACACCAGAATTTAGAACATCCTTGGAAAGTTAGGCCGACTTTTCCAACAAAAGACGTCAATTACTTGAAACATTTTTAACATATTCTAACTCTTGAAACACAACAGACTTATCATGCATATCTTGTAAACATGCAAATCTAGGCCTACTTAGTGGAATTCCCAGAGTGCACGGCAGCGGGTGTCGAGTGTTGATACGTGATATTCAGCACCGAGTAAACTTTAACGAAGACTCGCGGTCAGCATCTGCACAGTGAAAGAGGAGAAGCTCGGCTAACCTATCACCTGTCTGCCTTACTGCTGCTGCATAATGAATTAACAACAGGCACACCCTGCTCCTAACAACACAATACACAACTGCACTTTGGTGTTTATATAAGAAAAATATCACTCGTCACCGGCTTGAGCTTCAATCTCAGGATCCATGTATTTGTGATCCTCTCCAGAATGGAAGTAGTCATCACATACAGAGCATCAACTAGTTCCTGAACAGTGTCCTTCACATGCTGATATCCAAGAGAGGGAGTTACACAGTCACAAGATGGAGGAATAGAAAGCAGTATTCAATGTTTACTTCAGATTAGCTCCACGTCAGAAATGATCATGCTTGTCATATGTCTATCTCCATAGAGGCTGAATCATCATGTTAATCACATAGCTATCATATGCCTCAAACAGTCCTGATGCTCTTCTAGGTAATCATACATGCTGTCATGTACACAGCTACAGTTGGGATACCTTTGTTATCATGTGTACTCTGATGTTGGAAGAGGACATTCAGTATTTTCCCAACATTATATAATTTGTATTTTCTATTTAAAAAAGTCCTTTAAAATCGTTATAATTAGAAAGCACACTGTTGATGGACTAGTGATGGATTTTATAGTGTTGTGTGTTGTTTTGTATTCTGTGTCGGTTCTTTTAAACGTCTCGCTGCGTCAGTATCTCTCTCCTTAAATGTGGCAGTCTCAGCAACACTGTGATCTGTAACCTCAATCTGTTCTGTTTTGAGGAGACTTCAGTCCTGTCGTTTTTTATCCAATTCTTCTGATCTGACCATCAGACGTCTTTCAGGGTTTTGTTAGATTTTCAGGATATGAAGTTGGAACTGACTAACA